GTGTTGAGTAAATGACGTCACAGCGTAAAACTGCTGTACATAATGACTCATTGGCCGTGACACAAAGAAATTAATGGCGGACGAAAATAAATCGTAAAATTTTGGCCCTTCCCTTTCGAATATTAGAAAGATATTTCAGTGAGAGGTTCTTAATGTGTTCAAGATTATTTCAGCAAAGTTCCAGCTCGAATGAAAGAGTTTTAATTTTGGAACAATTTTCGTCCAAGTGGCCCTTTAATATTACTCACCTGTAGAACAGATTAACCATTGCAAAAGTCTTCATTGTCCTATTCATGAATCAGCCAAAATTCAGTGCTGGAATCATGCAAAGAAAAAGTGGTTATTAAGCTTAGTTCTTTGAGCTATGTTTGTGTTTGTGCGAAGGGAATCATGGGTGATGTCAGCGGTAGCAAGTTTCTCATTTAATTCCTAGACTCGGCATCAATTGTTTTTCCCACTAGATTTGGGGATCTCTGGCTTCTACTAATATTAATGTTACTAATTGGCTCTACTACTGTTTTAGTTTGGAGCTCAAACATTTTGAAATTTGTTTTCAAGTTTGAAAAAATTGCATTTCTAATGGCATAATTTATATAATATTGCAATTCTTTGGTTTGTTTAAGACTATGACACTGAAAGGCAAAGCAAAATATGCCAATCAACCATAAGCTCAACCACATTCCAATGAGCAGCAAGCAAACTGATAAACACATTTATTTGCTTTTGTCACAGCTTGTTGGAATGTTGTTGATCTTACCAATGATTGGTTGATTTTGTTTGGTTTTGACAGGTCATGGTCTCCAATTTGCCATAGAAATACCATGTTGCGTTCTTGAAAGCACAGCTTTTTCCTAAAAATTTGATTTGTGTTTCTCCAAGATAATAATTTTTCTCAGAACAAAATTCCAATCTCCATGAAGAATTCAAACTCGTGACCTTTGAGCTTCAAACTTAAATGCAAATAAAATATGCGTGGTATAAGCACTTTATTTATAAATAAAGTTATCGTGACATGCATGTATGCATGGTGCAAAAAGATGATTTCCACTGAATTCACAATTTTGAATTTTTTTATTTAAGGGAGCTATTGCCAACTTGGCAGTTGTGGAAATGAACCTGGAAATGGCTAAAGACCTTCATAAGCAGTTTCAACAACTCTATGCTGATGTGAGTAGTTAATTTATTAATAAGAATGGTAGGCAGTTCCAATCTCATGTAGAATGTTAAACACAGAGGGTCACGAGTCAGCAGTTTGAACTGTCATGTGTCATCTTCTCTAAGTATAACCGCGTTAGTTACCACCGTTCTTATTTCTATACGTGCTGATTGAAACAAAAGTTCCAACAGCTAGTTTGACATTGGTATACTGTCATCAATTAAATAAGTTGTTAGTACTGTATATATTGTACTGTATATGGGAACCATACTCTTATGATTCACTGGTGGCGTGAGCTGCCAATGTGCTGCCTATCACCAGTGCTACCTGGATTTAATCCCTGCCAGGCTTCAGGTATCGTATGTGAGAAGAGTTGTTTGTTGGTTCTCTCCTGTGCTTTGAGGGTTTTCCCTTCAGGTTTTCCAGTTTTTCCCCTCCACAAAAATGAACTTCTAAATCCTAATTCCATTTTATAAAACCTGTTAGGCTTTGCACCACCCACCCAGGAGTGGCATTTGCATTTTGTTTTTAGACTGAATATAGTCTGCTACTGATTTACTTTCACAACTTTTGTCTAGCTCAGCTCATAGCAATATAAAAAGTGGTAATTTATATTAGTTTTCTCAGCCTGACTTGTGATTTGTCCATGCTCATGAATGTCATTGAATTTTAGCACCAAAAGCAAATGAAGAAGCAAGCAAGACGTGAGCAGGTTGCTTCCCAAGCAGCTCAGCACAGCAGTGATGTAGCTAAGGTTGAAGAGGTTCTTGAACTGCAGTCATTCATGGATAACATATCTGAGGATGTTCGAGCTGACTTTCTTAATGGTACCAATGGAGCTGTTGTAAGTATTTTAGTTTTTGAATCTTATCTCCAAGATGGCATCTGTTTTATACCCAAAGACAGTCCATGAAGCACTGCAGGCCAGTTGACCCAGTTTTTTTCCTCAACCCCAAAATGACTAATTGACATTTTTGTTCTGTCAAACCTAAAAATGAAAGATGACTTCATTTATTTGTAGCCAAGTGAACTTTAACAATCATTTTTCAGTTGTATTTTATAGTAGTGCTAGTGTGTTTTGAAAATAACGTGATTGTATTTTGATGTGATTGTATCATGAGCAGTGTGACAAGAGAGATCGTTGTGTTGTACTGTCGTATGGTGAAGACAAACAGAAACTCTGTATTACTTTGTYGTTCCTGGTAGAGTCAGTTTTAATTACTGATGTATAACTCCTTCGCGGGAGTTATTAATCTACCGTGTATTTGATTTTCATCGTATAATAAAGTCAGGAAGTCCAAATCGCAAGTTTTTCCTGAGCCATTTAACTGGTAGTAATAATAATTATTATTACGTAAATGTTTCATTCAGGTGGTCACAGAAGAAGAATTCAGTCAGATAGACAAGTTCTATAAACTGATAACACCAGATGCAGATGCTGAAGAGAAGATGTCCAAGCAGATCAAAGATGCAAGTGAACATATTGTCAACTTTTTGAACAGTTCTCCAGCAGCCGTCGTTGATACAACTTGTATCCTACCTTGTCCAAAATAAGCGACTTAATTTGTATGGATAGCATGTGACATTACAGCAATGTCTCTAACCTCTGTGTAGTTAATGCCAAGTGAGTCTAGTTCTTGACAGAATCACATAAATTAATACACTGTCCTCATAATGCTTACAAGTGCACAAAAAGGAGGACACCCGTTCATTAGTTCACAGTAAAAGATATAAAAGCACATGAAATGCATTTATAGAAGAAAAGTGTAGAAAGTAACCTTTTTTGGCCTGAATTTGTGCTATTCATCTTCATTTTGAGGGAGTAGCCTAATAGTCCCCTTCACTGTTTCCTGCGCAATCTTGAAAGGTAGCTGTTCCTTTGCATCAAAGTGAGAGGAACGGTGAGCTTGCAATGATAGAGACATGTGAAGAATTGCCCAAGGTGTTAAAAAGGGTCTATATCATTGCAAGCTCACTGTTCATCTCATGCACTCATCGGCCATTATGTGAACAGTGTGAAAAAAATCACAGCAAATACAAATTTAAATATGGTGTAAAGCCATGTTTTGTTTTATGATTTGTAAGATGGCTTGTACCTTAACTAACTACTTCAGACAAAGCACTGCATGAATTAGTTTCACGCATCAATAAGAGTGGATACTTTGAGCCTGTTAAGTCAAGTGCTGAGGCTGACAACAAAGAAGGAGAAGAGGAAGGAAGTAGTAGAGCTAGCACACCAAATGGGGAGCTGTCTTCTGGAAGTGGTGAAGAGGTACAAGAAAATGCTGCCCAACAACAACAGGTATTCAAATAAAAACCTTAGAATTAGAGTGGGGAGGAAAGAAAGGTCTTTTCTATTGTCCTCTCGTCTGCTCTGATGATCCAACTAACTTGATAGTTAGGGGAGTACTTTCTTTACACATTGATGACTTTGTGAATCTACCTTGAAAAATGTGCAGCACCCTAAGAGCTGTTGGCTGATCAATACTCCAGTTTCRAATTCTCTGTTCTACAGGGTTAGCCTCGATTTTGTATGGAATTTCTTTAAATATTCACGTGTTCCAGCGAAGGTCCTTGGAATTTCAAAGTGTTTGTATTGTTGAAGTTGTGCATTCTTTACTTTACCGTTGGTATTTGTGAATATTTAGACACGGAACTGAAATGAGACTAACCCYGAGTAAATGAGTCTGTGATCAAGAAACAGTGGTATTTGACTAATTGAAGAATGGTCTACTTAATTTTGTGTGATCAGGAAATGGCAACAGAATCGGCCCCTGCTGTAGTCCCTTCTGATGTCGAAAAAGAACAAGAAACCAAGACTTCTCAAGACATCCAACAAGAAGTAGACACACCTCCAGCGGCAGCAGACGTGACAACATTCACTGCCAATGAACATGGACTGAACTTCTTGGGTGATTCTGAAATTGAGAAAGCTGCAAACGCACCAGAAAATAATGTTCCCACAGCACAAGGTGTTTCTGACTGGGCAGAGGAAGTGGAAAATGGTCAACATGCCAGACAAGCAGATACAGGTAAACCAAGCTACAAGCTTAAGGGTACTGTTCATTTTTTGAGAAGGTTGATGATTTGAGAGAGGGTCATTAAGATAATAAAGCTAAAGAAGGCGGGGGTGCACACTAAAAAATCAGAATCACACAGCACTTCTTTTTTAATGCAACAACRTGGACCTCAGATTTCTGTTTTTAAGTCCAATCACCTACCCCTGTCATGCACTAATTCAATAGAAAGGAGAAGCATGAATGGGACCCTTTARCAATAATCGTTATAGGAGATTCCATGTACTGAGTACCAGGCCAAACACTTACCTGGCAAAGCTGAATGCATCTCCAATCAACCCAGCACTATCAGAGAAGGAAATTGTCTGAAAAAAGAATGAAACAAACCAATGACGCCATCATCTGTCAAGCTTTTGAATTCACTTCCTGAATCGTGTAGATTACTAGTACCTTGGACCACAAATGAACAAAACAAAAAACAAATAAAATCGTCAAATTTTTAGCTTTCGAAGGGTACTGTATTAACAACTCATAAAAAATCTTTTTTCCCTTTAATTCTTTATTGAAATAATTTATATTAAATATTTCAAATATATTATTTTAATGTTTCTGATTCAGGAAATGATAATGCTCCACCAACAACAAATGGATTCGGCCATCGTGGTCGTGGCGGCGGCCGAGGGGGTGGATTTAGAGGAAATTTCAATAACAGACGTGGTGGTGGTGGCGGTGGAGATAGAGGAGGACCAAGAAGGGGTGGGCGTGGCGGATTTGGCCAGCATAGAGGAGGCGGAGGAGGTGGATTTCAAGATCACGTAAGTACAACACAGCCAGGATTGTTCAACTGGTCCGAGTCCTTGGACCACAGTGCATAAAATAATGGCCGGTCATGAGACAGTGCCCAGCCAGAATGGAACTTGTTTAGTCAAATCTTTGGCTTGCCAGTCATTTGAACCAGTAACATTGAGCCAGAAACAAGGTATAACTGAGCTAAGACTAATTTGGCTGGTCACAGTGATGACCATTGCCAATAAATTGGGCCAATAAACCATTTTCTTGGGTGCGCATCCAATCTTGACGGGCCACAAAACTGAAAAATGCAAATTCAGTAAAATTGGGAAGCCAGTTTTATACTTAGAGAGGAGAATAATCGATGTTATGAATTCTTATTAAAAATCTCATAAAATCATTTGATTATTCTTATTATAATGCTCCTGTTCTGGTATCATGAACCATCAGGTGTCTTAAATTTGGATATGTGACCAACCTTGAGGATAAGGTCTGTTATTATTTATAAAAGAACTAAGTTCTAAATCTTTTTTTYTTTTTTTCATTGACAGGATGGATTCAGAAGAGGAGGACGAGGAGGTGGGCGTGGTGGATTCAGCAGGGGTGGAGGCCAGAGAGGGGCACACCGAGGAGGACCACCCCCTCAATAACAAAGAAACAAATTAAAATACCGGATGTAAAATGTCACGTGGATGTTTTCCATTTTGCTTAGGAAGATTTGGATGAAGCCTTTGGCATAATAATTGAAAGAAACTAGTTACAAACTGTGTTATATTGTGAGCACTGAACCTGGAAAAACAAAATTACAAATTACCTCAGGACCAACCCTGGGCATCCCTCAACATTGTTCTTTCCAATACAAGACGTTATTCGATTCCAGAGTTTATCAGCAAAGTCTATGTTATATTCAGACAGACAGACCTGTCCGTCTGTCCATTGTTTATTGTTTAGCGCATGTATGTAGTTTCATAAGGCGGCCATGGTTGTACTTACAGACATATTACAGACAAAGTATATAGACAGTTGGCTTAATATTCTACGATAAAAAGGAGCAAGTGAATAATAAAGTTTGTACAAATGATTCATTTTGCTTCTCTACTCATCATATAGGATTGTTCTCGTTGTGGATTAATAAAGTCTTGTGCAGTATATTTATCACTATCCTTTGTATATCAAGTGTTGTTTGGTTAGTTTTGCTGTTCTTTGTGAGTTCAAGGGTAGTGCTAGTGTACTCRGCTCTTTAGCTTCGGGCTCAACTCCTGGATGTATCACATGGGTAGAGTTTTTAGGTTTCACCCTTGATTTAAGGGATTTTCTCCTTGGCTTTCCTCTCTGCAAGTTAGCCATGCCCTGACTTGAGGGTACAGCTAATTCACAGATCTGATCCTGAAACAACTTCTGGGCTGATCTAAGTCAGGGCATGGCTAACTCACAGATTAAACCCTGAAACAACTTCTGGGCTGATCTAAGTCAGGGCACTGCTAACTCACAGATGGAACCCTGAAACAACCTCTGGGCTGATTGCCTTTGATTTGCCTAGAGATTGTTTCAAGGTTCGAGCTGTGCCCTGACTTAGAACAGCCCAGAGGACTGGATGACGTAAAAGTCGAGCCTCAGTGTCGGGTCCCCCAGTTTTTTCTTCCAGACCAAAGGGTATTGGTCTTTCCGGAATTGAGCAGTGAATATATTAAAACAATTAAGAAATGATTCCCATCACAAACAAGATCATACTAATAGTACTATAAAGGTTTTGCAACATCACGTGATGGCAGCCATGGGAAACTGAATCCTTTTTCATGTAAATCAGTTTAGACCAGAATCGATTGTTCCTTTCTGCTGTCATGGCTGCCATCATGTGATGGTGCGAAGCCTCTATTACTGAGTTAGAGCATGTTTGGGTGAAACCYGACTAGCAAGCTYTTAAAAGTTGCAAAAATAAGAGAATGTCTGGGGTTTGAGGACAGCGTCCCCAAAAACGATACAATCRATGTTTTCAGCATTGATTCCACATGAAGTTAAAAGTTAAATTGTAAAATATTTTTATTTGATTTGAGTGATGCATCTTGGAGATATCAAGGTTCATACTTCCAGTATGCTAATGATGTGATGTCATAGTAGGCATTAAAATGTGAAAATGTACTGGGGTAGTAAAATATCCTGTATAAAACAATTATCTTACTCAGGGTTTATAGAAAGGTTATTGCAAAATTATTTCCTCATAGCAATCAGTGTTTTGATTTGAAAATGAAAAATAAACCCAAATGCCTACTATGACATCACATCATTAGCATACTGGAAGTATGAACCTTGATATCTCCAAGATGCATCACTCAAATCATATAAAAATAACTTACTACTTAACTTCATGTAGAATCAATGCTGAAAACACTGAGTTAGGGGTCATAGGCACTTTAAAGCTTGCTAATCGATCAGTATTTGCCCAAATATTACTCGATAAATTTGATAACTTTAATGTGATTTTTCGTGTGATATGGTCTGATTTTTAATTACATTAATATTTCGACACTCGTTCCCAGTCCCTTCCTCAATTTCGGAAAGGATAATTCAGCTGACACACTGATAACAAAAAGAAACATTTAAAAAATCGTTTTATTAAATTCTCTAGGTTTTTATCAATCAAACAGATATTTTACGATCGTAGTGACTTTTCCTCAGTCTTTATCAATCAATTTTATAGGCTTTTTTGTTTGATGCGCGCAAATTTTCTACTTCTTGATTTGTCTCCAAAACAACAGTCATTTTTGTATTTTCTCTTGACCTCTTTACCTTGGCCGTAATTTTTTTCCCAYTTCAGAGCACTGGTAATTCCCTAAAGTATCATTTATTTATTCAATGGTTGCATATGAAAAGACACGAATATGGATACAATACTCCATTTTACAGTTCCAATCAGTGACCACGAATAATAGTTCCTAGCCGAGGCTGGAGTTTCCGCGCATAGCAAAACTACAGTTTATCATGCGCGGTAACTCCAGCCTTGGCTAGGAACTATTATTCGTGGTCACTGAATGAAACTGTAAAAAGGAGTATTCAAACAGAATAATGTTATTCTCAAGAGAATGACACGTGGTCATTTTGCCCAAGCTAAAGGCCTATACCCAATTAGCCCACTTCCGAGATACGCTTCGCTTGTCACGCACAATGGTTTCAATATGAGGCTACGTGCTAAATGCTCAGTCATACGTGACAGGTGGTAAGAATAACTTTAATTTAGCACGTAGCCTTATACTGAAACCTTTGTGCATGACAAGCGAAGCATATCTCGGAAGTAGGCTATTCAAAGCACAACTTCTGTACACAGCTCTCACAACTTAAAAGCTATTTTGTCTTGTTATTATCAAGAGGGAATAAAATGTGAAGAAATAAATTTCGCGAAGCCACCTGGTAGTAATACGCCTCATTACAAGACAAATTACAAGAAAGAAAATTATATGTTTGGTAATATTTCACTGTGTATCATTTAGCAATGGAGGACAGCTGATCGCGAATCTTCCCCAGACCATCTAGCATAGTATCTAGCTTCTCTTTCGTCAGTTCGACGTTCATATATCTGACAGTCGGCATTGAATCTTTTTGTACCGCGTTTTCTTGTATCTGTAAATAAGTGAATACAGAACAATTAAAAACAAACCATTGTTTTAACGCTAGGGATCATGGTCGCTAGAGGGGGATGGAATGACAACAACGCATCTTAAATCACCATAAAATTTGGTTTATGAGCTGGTGAAGGCAAGAACAACTAAATATTACGCTAAATATCTCGAAAGAAGAGGATTAAGCTTAAATTTAGCCTAAATTTCTATCATTTTAGCCGATGTAAACAAACCGTGACGTCATTATGAAATAGGCCAATTGAGTGGTTAAGAAGTCCCTATCACACCTTCTGTGATATTTCTATCTAAAGAACATTGTCATGGGGAATAAAGTTTGGTGTAGCAGTAGTGCACTCGCCTCTCACCTATAGGGTCTTCATTGGGGGTCTTGAGTTCAATTTATGCATTTGGCATCACATGCAAACTTCTAGTTTGCTAGGTCTCTCCCTTAATTCTAGGGTTTTTTCAGGTTATCCGGTATTTCTCCCTTTCGCAACAACTACATGCTGAATTAGGGTTAGGTGATAAGGTAGGTCACCTAGAACTGTTTGTCTTGCATACCTTGAGTTGCATAATGCAGGTTGGTATGGACATGCGTGTTAATGCATCAGATGACGTTTTGACATCAACTCTCCAATCGAAATCGAGCAGGCGAGGTAGTGATACTAAAAAAGATATAATTGACATTTTAATTGTGTTTGATATTTAGGTAAACTACAGGGATAGCAAAGCATTTTGAAGTGACTGGGTTTGAGTCCTATTTTTGCAGTACCTTTTGATTTAATATGTGGTAAAAGAAGTGCAGCTTCAAACTACTCTTTTTAATAACCACTGTTTTCATTACAGAAATCACAATAAGTTAATTGGTGCTGTAGACTACAGTCAAACATATATAAAACTGCTAGAATGCATAAAGGTATATGTATGGGAACTATACTCTGACTCTGCCACCCAGTTCATACACGGGCTGTATAGCGGCTGCCAGAGGCGCCTTCACATGCTTTCAGTGAGCTTCGCCTCTGCTGTACTTGCAGTGGTGACAAGCAATGACAAGTTTTTTTTAGTTTGCTCAGTTGGTAAGAGCATTGGTCTGTTGTTTTGGAGGTCGTGGTTCAAGTCCTGGCTGGACCAACACTCAGGGTCTTAAAATAACTGAGAAAAGGTGCTGCCTTTGCAATTACATATGCAAATCCCTAATTAACTAGAGACGTTAAGAGAGGACCATGAGTTTATCAGTTGAATTAACAGAAGTGTACCAAGGTCTCAGTCAGGATTAGCAATGTACAATCTTCATGTCAATACACACGCATACGCATTTCATCTTTAGTGTTTCCTGCCATATCCATAGATTCAGTAAAACTTTTTGGGGGTTGGTATCCCCCCTTGCTACCCCACTTTAAATTAATTAATTCAATTATAATTACTGATTTTTTTTACCTTGTTCACTCATAGCACTTGCTCTCCAAGCTGACCTATGCATTTTGAATCGATAAACAATTAATAATAATAATAATAACTAATTAATTATTAGTCCTTATCAAAGTCACTATTTCAGAATGTGAAAGTTTGGACTGGTAACAGCAAAATACCCAGATATAGGAAATCTTTAGTCTCCTACGCAGCCGCTATAAGTGTCGTCACGAGTGAGCRTGGCGTGACAACACTAAAATATTGGCTTATTGTTCTATTCAGGAAGTTTATATTACTTACATGTTTTCAGCAAGCAATTTTGAAAGAAGTTCCCTAAGATTTTTATGGAAGTCATCTGAAAGAAAAAAAGCAATTTACAAAATTATTTAGATTTAATCTTGCCTCTATAGCTCTCCTCATAATCTCATTTAAGAAAGTGCCTCTGGAACTGGGGCATGTATAGAAATGAAAACTGTTGAAATAATATGAATAACTAACCCTTTTAGTCTGTCAACAATTTCCTACCTGGGAACACACTATAAATGTCTTTTGGATCAATCAAACCATGATAAAGAGTTGTTTGTACAAGTGCAATAATGCTGTTAATCAACTAGAAAAAAAATCACAGTTAGTAGTGTAGTTAACCATTCTTTAATGTTGAAGCTAAACATATGATTTTAAATAACAAAGCTTGAAATAGGAAAAAATTGTAGCCAGACATCTTTTTGGCAGGCCATTGTTATGTAATGATACGTTGTTATTTCCATCTGTTAAATCTGAAATTTGGTCTGCTATTTGGCCAATTATTGACACCAAAGGTTTTCATCCTTATGCATGGGAATAAACATGTTGCCATGTCATAAAGGTCTATAACCCAAGGCAAAAATGAGAGATGGCAGCCTGTAGAATTGTCATGAACTGATGTTGGTTGATACCTCAACTACTTTCTCACAACAACCACCACCAAATGTCGCACTGTAAATATATTAACCTTACCTCTTCTGCTTCATTGATCTCCACTGATAACGATGCTGACGCTGTCTTAATCACACTCTGAGGAACTAAAATGAAAACGAACTCATAAAATACTTAAACTATTCCTGTTAAATCATTTGGTTAAAAAAATAATGGTTTGAGCACCTACCCTCTGAAGACCTGTGAAGGAATCCCTCTTGAATCAGATTTCTAACAATGTCTTTAGATTTTGCCTAAAATTAAAATTATTATTTTATATTAGGGTGTGTGAGAATATTTTCAGTACAAGGGGTGCATACAGCCATTTTAAAAAGGTTGAAGGCGTTAATGGTGAATTAATTGGTGACTAGGTGATTACACAAGTTCTGAATTAAATAATGAATGTGTCAACTCTTCATCTAACACAGTTCCTCTCAGCAGTGAAGTTGCCAATCACTGATAGCCATTTGCTGCTAGCCTGTGTAAAGCCTCTTCCCACCCCAATATCTTACGTTGAAGATTCTCAGTTTATCACACTTGCCATTTATATATTTACATACTGTAGATTACTGTAGTTTTTCATATTCTGCAAACTCAGACATTCAAACAGCTCATTGTGAAATTGGATTTTCACTGCTGCTAGTCAAGAACTTAAAAGTTGTACCGACTGATTATCTTTGATTGACGGCAGTGAAAAACCAAATTTAAGCGTGCAGCTTGTAACTACCGAGTACGCAGAATATACACTGGGTATAGAGAGTACTTTAAATTTAAATTCAAAACTCTGAAGGTAGGCAATATGGGCAAAGCATGGTTAAATATTTAAAAAATAAATGCTGTTGAAGCCTTATTTGTACGTCCTATAACTATTACTCCCCAGATTGAACTCTTCCATAAGGTTCACTCCACAGGCACTACCACTGCTCCATTCCTTAAAACAAATGCCCCCCCCCTCCCCCCAACCCACCACCTAGGTGAATTCATTGTGGCCATCCCCTCCCTTATTTTTTTCAGTGCATTTTGTAACCCAAATACAAAATTAAAATAGCCGTCAATTGAAAGCATTTAGGTATTCCTCATCATAATATTAATCCTCCTACTGGCATCAGAGCATTAACCGCTTCACGATGGAAAAATTATTCTTCATACATATACCCAATACCACATAGGCCAACAGCTAAACTTTCAAACAACTTCTCTATCAGAAAATGAACTTATTCAAAGACAGCTATACCAATCTGCATGGTACTCTCAATATTTCGAAACATGGTGCTATTCATAGGATATTTTTCTAATCATTAACTGGTATTTTTCATACCTTAAGAAGTAAATTTAATGGAGAGATCAYTTTGTCGTCCAAAACTTCCGCCATCTTGAATTGGGATACCTGTGTGCGTGCGCTCTTCCTCTTTTACGTCACAACACAGGCAGCCCAAAACATCACTTTTTATTAAAGTTAACATTTTTATACCAAGAATAAAAATTAGTATTCTACAAATAAAAGCAGGTATAGTAATTACTTGATAAACGAACGTTTATGACAATGCTCATTCATGGGCGAATAAAGGATTGATTTTGAGTGGGGAAGGGAGAAGGGGGGGGGGGGGTAGGCAAAATCAAGACGATGTACCTCTTTAGTAATTTATTATCTTAATGTTTAAATTAACCAACTAATTTCAAGCCAGGAAGCGTGACATTTCCTTAAATTCGCCACTGAGTGGTTTTATGACGCGAATTTCCCCCCAAAAAGCAAAGCATTATGGGGAATGTGTGATTCATTGTGTGGGCTTCCTGTGGTGGAACCAAAGGCCAATATGGTGGATGGTAGCGTAATATAGTAATATTTGTTCAGCTGCACAATTCTTGTGAGATCACCATGAATCATTTATTATTTTCCCGTTTTGGGACAAGAAAACTCTTCAAACAATTCTTACATCTGTCCTCGAGGAAATACTGCGTCTCCAGAACATCCTTAATGGCGCAGAAAGAGATTTTAGACGCGACACAAGCAAAACTTTTGGAAGAGAAGTGCATTCTCGTAGACGAGAATGATTTTGTTCAAGGCTGTKCTACCAAGTTAGAATGTCATCTAAAGAAAAATATCCTCGAGTTTGGCATGCTTCACAGAGCTTTCAGTGTTTTCTTATTTAACAGTGAAGGCAAGTTACTTTTACAACAGAGAGCTAAGGAAAAGATAACGTTCCCAAACTACTTCACTAACACTTGCTGCAGTCATCCCTTGTATAACGAAGAAGAGCTAGAAGAACAAGAGTGCTTGGGAGTTAAGAGAGCTGCTCAGCGCCGATTAAATTACGAATTAGGAATACCTACCTCAGAAATCCCTCTGGATAAACTGAAATTCTTAGCAAGAATTCACTACAAAGCTTCTTCAGATCAAAAATGGGGCGAACATGAGATGGATTATGTACTTTTTGTTCAAAAAGATGTAACTTTAAAGCCAAACTTAAACGAAGTCCAAAAGTGGGATTATGTGACTCAAAGTGAAGTACGTCAACTCTTAACTGAGGAAGGGAGAGATGGAAAATCCAGGCTTGTGACACCTTGGTTCAAACTGATTGCCAAAAACCTGTTGTTCAAATGGTGGGATAATTTGGATAATTTGAAGGCGTTTGAGGATCATAATACTATACATAGGATGTAAGAAATACTTTTATAAAGTCTAAGAAAAAATCCTATCATTAAAAGATAGGGTTAAACAATCATGTACATGGACTACGACAGACTTACAGTATGTAAATGTATTCCAAAAATATTCAGAATAGCAAATCTACGATTTTAGGTATTGCAAATTACATTAGATTTTGGGATGGGGGTTCTTTCCAATGCCCCATTTTACAGTTCCGTTCAGTGACTACCAATAATAGTTCTAATTTGAGGTTGGAGTTGCCACACATGATAAAAAAATATAGTTTTTCTATGTGTGGAAACTTGAAACTATTATTTATGGTTACTGAGCAGAACTGTAAAATTGGGTATTCCTGACATCAATTCTTATTTTATCTTGCTAATTTATGCTGTTTCTACATTGCACCTGTATCGTATGCTTATCTTCTAACTTGTACACAAAAAGGAACATTTACTTTTAATAATAACACATACATGTATATATATTTAAGGATTGAAAAGGTTGATAAAGATGAAACTAGTTTCCATAAACAATTTTGAACCTTGTATCATGAAACTTTTACAACTACAGCAGAACTCTATCAGCCCAGAGGTGCTTTCAGGGTATCGATAAAATTTGAAGGTTTTTCAATAACATGCTCTCAGAAATACCTCCATGATGTTAAATATTTAATCGAGAGTGTTTAATTAATATACACATGATGAATATGAATACATTAGTTCACACCTGCTTCCTGTGTCATCAACAAAAGTTTATTTTTAAATTTCCTTTTTATTCTAACTTGCATTTCATCAAAATTGCACCTTCTTCTGACAGCTTACCTATATATGATAAGTAGACTAGGAATCAAGATTGCACTTTCCCCTCACCTCTGGGTTCTTCAGTTTTCCTCAGATCTCAAAACCCAACATTTTAAATTCAGAATATTTTTATCTGTGAGTTAGCTGTGCCCTGACTTAGACCAGCCCAAAGTTGTTTTAGAGTTTGATCTGTGAGTCAGCCATGCCCTGACTTAAATCAGCCCAGTGATTGTTTCAGGATTCCATCTGTATGTTAGCCGTGCCCTGACTTAGATCAGCCCAGAGGTTGTTTCAAGGTTCAATCTGTGAGTTAGCCATGCCCTGACTTAGATCAGCCCAAAATTGTTTCAGGGTTCAATGTGTGAGTTAGCCGTGCCCTGACTTAGATCAGCCCAAAGTTGTTTCAGGGTTTCATCTGTCAATTAGCCGTGCCCTGACTTAGATCAGCCCAAAGTTGTTTCAGGGTTCCATCTGTCAGTTAGCTGTGCCCTGACTTAAATCAGCCCAGTGTTTGTTTCAGGCTTGTTTAATTTGTGACCGGGGCCACTTTGACCAATTAGACAAAAGAACCAATGAAAAACATCTCTGCAAGGTCAGCATTGCGAGTGAACTTTCAGTCAAGTAAAAGAAAAACTTAAGGAAAAATATTACAGTACAAAGTTTTAAAAGCCAATTGGCAAAAACCATTACCATTCCTGAGTCATAATCTTATAATGAAAAAAAAATTGAAATGAAACAGCTGTTTGAAATTAGAAAGGTTTCTATGGAAACAACTACGAAGGCCTTACCAGCCTCGATTTCATGTTTTCGGTACATTACAAATGCTTTCTGTTGTCATATATTAAATATAACTCTTCAGGGATTTAATATATGACAACAGAACTTTCCCTAACTACTATTCTAGACATGGTTTTTCTCATAATAAAAATATATTTTTGAAATCATTAATTGTTTGTAGTGCTCGTTCTCAGTTTTATACTCGTTTCTCATATGGTCTATAGTCTGCCAGTTTGGCCTTTTCATTCATTCATTCAAATGGCATGACAGACTGCCCTAATGAATTACTGACATTAAGGCCCTATTAGGGGTAAAATGCTGACAGCTACAAAAGAATATTTCCGAAATTGTGACAGACAATTGTGAAATTCAGAAGCAGGACGACTTGGGTACCCCTTATAGGGCCTCCCTGACTATATCAGTGTCTGTCTGTCCATATGTGCCCCAGTCAAAATGATGTGACAGTCGCTGAACTCATTAAATAAATAGAGAAACTATACCTTTTTTAATCTAAAGTCTTTGACAGATATTTCAAAAGAAAAATAAACGAAAAAAAGCAAAAAGACAGCCCTACCTACCCCACCCTTACCATGTATCTGTAGTCTTCATAATGAATGCACGCAAAGCATGCTCGAAGGTCCACACTAATCCAAGATGGCGAAACGAGGTGCAGGCAGCGAACTGAACAGAGATAACTGGGACGACGACGACGAAATAGAGGAGGTTAGAGCCATTTTATTAACCATTAGAAGCCCTCATAGTCTTAAAATTGCTCGTGTAAATTTTCAAACTTAAACAAATTGTATTTCCTTATTAAATTTGAGGTTATTGCTGCTAGTGTCGAGAGGAAAAATCTTAATTCTATCGTTCCTCACCGCAGCTTCAAATTATCAAAAAGAAATGAAAATTCCGTATTGACGTTCTGATTTTAATGTTCTGTTGTAAAGCTGTGTTTCTTTTGCTGTAATTTGGTTTTAAATCTAATTTGAACCCACAGATGCAAGAAAGTTGTAAAGCAAGTCAAAAATCTTCGGTGAAAAAAGTCTTCAAAAAGCCCGCCGAAATTCAAAAATTCAAACAGAGTTTTAAGCAGAGTTAGAAAATCCTAAGTGTTATATAATGCCTTTTAACGGTTTTTGTCATATTACATGAAAGCGGCTGATGTTTTTATCAATTCTTGCCTAAAATTGTCCTTTCTGACATCTTTTATCTTTTCAGGCCGGAACGTTCACTATAGCCAGTGAAGAAGATCTAAATAAGCGCAAGTAGGTCTTAAGTCATATATGTATTATAAGTGTGCCTGTATTTAGAAATAAAAAGCTTCATAAAACTAAGTTTATCTTTTGATTTTAGGATCATCAGGGCTCGAAGAAGAATACCATCGGATGCAAATTCTAAGGTTATGACAGGTCTTTTAAAACATGGAGGGAGGGAAAGGCTAAATAGTGCAAATTTCATTTACAGGGCTTCTTGATCACTTACGCGAAATGGTACAATTTGCCATCATGATAAAGTAGGTTTTGTGGATGTCAATCAATGTATTTCCATGACATCGCATAGGCACATGCCCTTAAAAGCTTTGTGTTTTCTGACAAATCTGGGAAATACTTTGTTTGGTGTCCCCCAAAACTTTATTATATCTCGATTTTTCCGCCTCTGATTTCACACGTGATTGAGAAGCGCTGTAATTTGCAGAAAGAGGGGGTTACCAAAAGTTTTGGGGTATGAAAGGGGGGGCTTTAAAAATTTGTCATGCATAAGGGGGGGCTCAATTTGAATTTAAAAATTTTCTTGGGTTGTTTGGGCTTCGAAAATTATGTAAGTAATAAAATTAATTAGCTAAATTAAGTAAGTCTAAAAAAGGGGGGCCTGTAAAAAGATAAGGTTTTTGAGGAGAAATCTTAAATCCCCCCCCCCAGCATATTAAATGAACTTTTCATAAGAAGTTGATACATTTTCATTTACGATATGACGAAAAAAAAGCATTTTCAAAACTTGAATCATCCCAATCTTTAAGTTCACATAACTTCATTTTGAGAAGAACATATCACTAAGATTTGTGAAGCATGAGAGAAGATTCATAGAAGCATATCTGAGTGGTTCTCTTGCTTCATGAGTGCTCTTTAACTCCCAGAGTGTTTAGATCACAATACAAAGACCTGGACAATTTTTTATATTACTCTTATAAAATGTTTTGAATGATTTTCCAAGAGCATACCTTTATCCTCTGATATAAACACAGTAGATCCAGCCAGTCATCAAGTGCATTATATTTCATGTGTACATGTTATATTTCAATATTTTATAATCAGTTTTACTTGTGTTGATCTATTTTTTTCTTGTCTCTATAGTCTTCAGGAGTCTTCCAAAAGTTTAAAGGTTTTTCGGGATTTTCTGGTTTGTCTGGCTCATCAAGTACTACAGACGCTAGCAAATCTTTACCAGGATTCGGTTCTTGGGGATCCACTACATCTAAAACAGAAACAACGACAGCAACAACTATTGCTGGATTCACAGGATTTGCTGGTCTATCTGCTACCAACAGCATATCATCTTCTTCTAAGGACTCATCGATAGCATCATCATGGTCAACATTCAATGGAAACAAAGATTCTGAAAAGACAGAAACTTTAGATGATACACCGAATAATGCCTATCTTGAAAATATCAAAGCCTTGAATATCGGTGTTCTAGCCTGGATCAAGAAACATGTAGAGGAAAATCCATATGTTGATTTAATGCCAGTTTTTAAAGATTACCGCAAGCACATGGACGACTTAGAAAGTAAAGCAACGCCAAACAAGGATTCCCCAGGTATTAAGCCATTGCCGTCCATAACGCCGCCATCGTCATCTGGTAGCAAAGTGGTTAGCTCAAATGAACAGCAAGTTAGTAGTAAGAGCTTGGACTTTAAGTCTTCTGTTGTTCCTGAAGTAAGGAATGAAGAGAAGCCCTTTGCTGGTACGTACAGTTATTGATCGGATAATACATTGTAAATAATGATCCATTCCACTTCTAGCTAATACAGGGATGATACAACCTCTTTTAAAAAAGTGGGGGAGGGCCATGTGCTACAGGTAGCCTAGCAGTAATGATGAATAGGTAAATTATGCACAGTGAAAAGATGAAAAAAGTTACTGACATTTCGGACGCTAGTCCTTCGCAGGAGTAAAAGAGAAAGAGGTGGTAGAAAGGAGTGTAGGTAGGCAAGGAAACAAAAACAATCAAAAGACAAAAGAAAGGTCAGTTGAAAGCAAAGCGTTCATTAATCCCGTTGGGACTAAGAGTGCCCAATAGGTGAATAAGCCGCATTTCTTTGGTCTTGCGACAATCATTGTTGCCGTTAATCAAAGAAAGACCGAAAACAATGAAGTCAGAAAGAGAATGGTTAGCTAGATTGAAATGGCGGGAAACTGGTTTGGTAGGATCGTTATTGTGAATATCATAAAGATGATTAAGGTAGCCCAGCAGTGAACTCAAACTTTGTCTCAGCCCTAGCCCCCCAGCCCCCAATCCCCACCCCCCGTTTGCACCCCTCCGGTGATGGGCATGGTGAGATATAGCTGGGAGATATATCCATCATGTATGCTTGATACATTGTTGGAGCTTGTACTACTTTACTCACTTGTTTTCTTAATTAATTATTAATAAAATAACTTTTCTGTGATAAGGTCTTGCTGCAGCTGCCATGGCGTCAAAAGATAATGGAAATGATAAAGCAGAGAATGAAGATGAACCTAGTGATGAACCTCCAAAGCTAAAAAGGTAAAAAACAATACATGCAATGAATGTTCTTTTTTATTAGATCACTTAGTCACATGTAATCCACTTTTTATTTATCTAAACGGATTCACCGTTTTCCATACATTGGTCAACCGGTCAAATACAAAGCACTCAAGCGAGGCGCCAAGGTACTTTCAAAGGATTATTCAAATTTGCACCTTGCAACCKCGACTGAATGCTTTGTGTTTGACCAGTGAACCGTTGTATGGAGAATGGTGAATCTGATTTATATGAAAAAGAATTAAGTTTCCCAGGGGAGAACAATTCTATTGTTGTGCCTCCTGTCATGGCTGCCATCCTGTGATGGTGCAAAGCCTCTATTGGTAAATTCAACCAAGATCACAGCTATGATGTCATGTGCAAATGTAGAATAGGAGAAGACAGTGCTATGCGTATTAAGAAGGAATAGATGAGAAGAAAATGACTGAAAATAGACCTGTTTTGAGTTCCGAATTACCACTGTTCCTTGATTACAGACTCATTTACTCAGGCTTAGCCTCGTATCAGTGTCTAAATATTCACAAATACCAAGGGAAAAGTAATGAAAGCACACTTGACAATTTCAGCAATACAAACACTTGACAGACCTTGACTGGAACGTGTGAATATTTTGCACAAAATTGAGGCCACTGAGAGTATTACATAATGATATACAAAGCTAATTATTATTAATTGAACTTCCAGCCAACTTCTAACCATTCCATGTACGTTTTTTTCTTTAGTGTCATTACTGCTGAAGAGGGATCCCAGTTCTCTGTGCGATGCAAACTATTCTTTAAGCGCAACAACGCCTGGTCTGAACTTGGCGTTGGCATGCTAAACCTCAAAGACAAAGATGATAAATCCCAGCTTCTTGTACGTGCCGACACTGCAACAGGCAAAATATTGCTTAACATATTCATTGCACCCTCAATGCCAGTGACGCGGAGTGGCAAAAACAATGTGATGTTGGTCTCGATACCCAACCCTCCCCTGTACTCTAAGCCGAGCGAAGGAGATAATGAGAAGCCAGCTACATATTTGATAAGAGTTAAGACAGCTGAAAGTGCAGATGACCTTTTTAAGAAGCTGGAGGAAAGAAAATGAAGCTAATATATTCAATTATTTTTTTATTTGTTATTTTAATCTTCAAGAAATTTCATTTGAATATTGTTAAATTTTGATATTGATGTGTTAAAATCTACCAGTATTATTTTGTAAAAGGATGAATGGATTGAAAAATTAATCCATTTTACTCAAATAGTTTCATTCATTTCATTTACTTTGAGAAGCTTAACTTAGTACTTCAAAAAAATGATTTTATTTGAATACCATTCAGACTTTTCTACACTTTTCAGTTGAGTTTGGTGCAACAGGCGTTTTGTTACAAAGCATTGTTAAGAGTGGAATCTCCATGTTGTCAGCGGCAACATCAAACTTATTCAACCGGCAATAAAGCTTGGGTACAGCGATTATCAGAGATGTTGAACCTGACAACATACAGATTTCATCAACAAAACGTCATAACATAACTCCTGTCATGCCAAACTCAACTGAGAAGCATAGTACAGGGTTCGTGCTACTCCTTAAACTCATCGAAAACTCCTTGAATTTAATTCACGCTTTCAAGGGCACTTGAAAAGCTCTTGAATTTTTGCGATTTTAGCAAAACTCCTTGAAAACTCCTTGAATTTTTGCTTTGATCATTACTTGCATGGTTCTGAAAAAGATCTAGTCAGAAAGATTGGAAAATCTGAAAGTCGACCATATTCAACCACCGTGTAAAACCTTGGCATAGTTAGCAACATACCCCTTAAAAAATATTTTTGGGTCCTTGTGTACATCTTGAATAGTCCTTGAATTTTAAGTGGTTACCTCAGCACGAACCCTGATAGTAGGTGGAGAGACCTTTTATTGTCATTCCTTCAAACTTTTAAGTTCATGCTGTTTCATATCCTATTCTTAACCTAAAATAATCTATAATATTAGAAGCTAGCATATAAAATTTTTTTGGCAATAACGTATGAAAATCTTGGGTGCTGATTCATGGTCATTATATCAATATGAAGAGGACAGACAGATAAAGCTGGCATCAACAGGCGCATGCTCTTTCTGTTGGTTGTTTTGATCACTAAAAATGAGAAGTTTTTATCGTTTTTGCTATTGTAAAAAACAAAGAGACATCAGTTTTTTTGTGTCTGTCCTGTTATTGACAATAAATTTCTTCATCACATTGTCAAAGTAGTGTCCACACTACTTTGACAATGTAATGAAGAAATTTATCATCAATAACAGGACAGACCTTTAATAAACTGATGTCTATCAAAAATCTAGTGTTGACAGATAAAGAAAATAAAAGAAATTAATATGATCTCCTAATGGGCTTTAGACTAGATGGCTTCTCATTGGCCAAGAGACCACAGCCAATGCATGATATTGTGTGAACTCAACATGATGAATTAATAAATATTAATTAATTAATGTAATAATATCTATAGGTGTTCATGAAGATATTACATTTATCATGTCAAGTTCATTCAAGGTCATAATGGAGATTGAAATATGTTTGCTATTTCTTTGAAGGCTGAATTAGATCTTTATTTTTAGTTTACAAAATGCATAATAAAACAATTATTGAATTCAGTTTTCACTTGATATGCTAAATTATTAAGACCTTGGCTTTATCCGCTTCGGCATAACAGCTTCAGCAGAGAACACAGCTTTGGTCTTGATACAGGGTTCGTGCTACTCCTTAAACTCCTTGAAAACTCCTTGAATTGAATTCACGTTTTCAAGGGCACTTGAAAAGCTCTTGAATTTTATGATTTTAGCAAAACTCCTTGAATTTTTGCTTTGATCATTACTTGCATGGTTCTTAAATAGATCTAGTCAGAAAGATTGGAAAATCTGAAAGTCAGCCATGTGCAACCACTGTGTAAAACCTTGGCATATCTAGCCGAACATACTCCTTGAAAATTCATTTTTGGGTCCTTGAATAGTCCTTGAATAGTCCTTGAATTTTAAGTGTTTACCTCAGCACGAACCCTGTTGATAATTTATGTCTTGCACAACCTCATCCAATAGTTCTATATAGAATGACTTTTATTAATATATTAATTTGTGAGATGATAAAACTGAATAAATTGAAATTTGCTTTTACCTACCTTTATTAATAAGTGTACATTATTTTTCTCCATGCAAACCTTTTCTTGTAATAAATGGAACACCATCTCAGGCATCCCAGCCACTTTTTAGACAAATTCGATAGGAAATATGGGCTGTACAAGTTCTAAATATAGGAAAATATAGGAGTTTTTCCCAAAAATATATGCACTTTATAGGAGCTAAAATAGCTTTTCAGTGACGTAACCAGGGATCTTGCAGGGAGGGTGCACAGGCAATGATTTATTTGCAGAACCAAATAAGCCATAAAAGACAACCAAAAAAAAAAGTGTAAAATGTAAATGTATCAATCAGCAGTCGTCCTATTTATAGGAAATATAGGAGGTTTTCTTTAAATATAGGCTCTTTATAGGATCCTGTACAAATTATAGGAAATATAGGATATATAGGAGGTCTGGGATGATGCCTGCCATCTAGTTGCTGAGGAAAGGTATGTTTTTTTATTTTGAAACCAGTATTGGTGTACCAAACAATAGAAACTTTCAGCACAGTTTACTGCCATAATAATAGGGTTCAATTTCTGGAGGATAGAAAATGTATTGTTTTGGTACATCAACATGGCTGCATGCTGTGATGTTGTGTGAAAATGCTATATTCCTTAAGATTACTGATGGCCGTGAGGTCTGAAGACACAAAGCTATGCATATAAAAATGATAGGATGGATCCACAATTTATATTATTACATACATCTGCTGGGTCCTTTGGTATTATTCATTATAATTACATTCATGTCCAATGCTGTCGTATTGAGAGGGGGAGGGAGCCTCACATCAGACACTGATTTACAATGTTTCTTTGTGGCACTGTGACAAGTTCAATGTGAGGTGGCCTTATTCCCTGGTAAAGGGGGTAGGAGATTGATTAAGTGCTAGATAGCACTTATAAGGCCTAGGGCAAATGTCGAACTTTCCATGCACCAAACTTAATTACATCAAAGAATGCCGCCTCATTATCACCTGATATCCATTGTTTTTAATGAGTTCGGTGCATGGAAAGTTCGATGTTTGCCCTAGGCCTAAGATAAATTTATAAGATTCAGATAGATTTATCTAATATATATAACTTAGGCTCATGTTGAACTTCACAAGAGCTTAACCTAGATAGGGCTAGGACATCAGAGAAGACTGCCTCGTTATCCATTATTTCAGTAATGTTCGGCTCATGTAAAGTTCAACTTTTGATCTGAGCCTAAGATAACTATTTAGTTGAGGTCTCCTAAGATATCAAATATGTGCCAAACTAGCATTTACTGTCATGAGAAACCAGATTTTATTTTACAAGAGAATGGATGAAAAGACATATTTTGATCATATCAATTTGTTTTCCCCTGATCTCAGGTGATCCAAAGACTGCAAGCAGTCCCACTTTCCTCCAAACTCTGTAAGGGTGAGTGTTTTAGGATTCCTGTGGATGCATGTAGATTGGATTACTTGGCTCCAATCTTCACACACAACCACAGGAAAATCCCAAAACACTCGTTTTTACTGAATCTGGAGAGATAAATGGTTTATCTAAATTTACTCTAGTAAAATTTCAATGTAAGAGTTAATAGCTAGTATTAATTGTTTGAAAGAACCAGATGGCAATCACAAGGCGTTTCCATAACATTGTCAAAATTCACAAAAGCAATAAGGGCACGTACATGGAATATTCATGGGAACGCCTTGATTGACGTCCACCAAGAGCTTCTTTGACGCGACAGAAACTATTGCTAGAGTGGCACGTGTGATTGAGAATGGCTGTAAGTGCCATGTTTGATCCCTAAAGATTCAGTTTCAAGACTTGTTTTCCTGCAATTTTTCAAGAAATTCCTCCAAATTGCTGTGGAATTCATCAGCGTGATCAATGTAGCAGACATGTCCTGCTTGGTCAATCCTCCTAGTAATAGCATCAGGGATTAGTTGCAGTTTCTTGATAGCCTTTGATACAAATGGTTGCTTATCTTCTTGGCCATAAACAATCAAAGTTTTGAGGCCCAACTTCTTGAACTGATCTTCTGTGAAGTCTTCTGTTCCAACGGGTGCAATAGGGACAAATCCTTCCAATTTCTTGGCGTTTTCTCCATTAAAAATGTATGGAAAAGCGTATGATCCACTCATCGATGGAGCAACTAGGATAGAATGTTCATAATCAAGCTTTTGAATCAATATCTCAAGGAACTTTGCTTTATCAGAAGGAGATTTTGGAGCCTCCAACGTCGACGAGTTACCAAAGGCAGGAAGATCAACTGCCAACACTTCGTAACTTTTCTTGCTCAGAAACTCTAAAGTTCCAATATCTTCCCAGGTTTTGGAAGAGAACCTCTTCCCGTGAAGGAATAATACTTTTAAAAGAGGCTTCTCTGGTAAGCCATGTCGATAAAATATGCCCTTTTCGGCGCCATTGATGTTAAGGTATTGTGTTTTGATAATGGTCTTGCTGGAGTGTTTGTGAAGCTTCCAGTGATAGGCTGAGAAATAGTACAGAACACCTAGAAAAACTAGAAGCCCTACGACGATAGATCTCCAGTTTATTGATACTGAAAGCGGAATATTAGCCATCCAACTTACTCTGAGATGAGGAAGAAAATCGGTCTAAAAGACAGGATACAATGAACCCATATTTGATTTGATGGAGGGAACACAGGAAGCCCAGTTAGTAAAAAATGTGAAATAAACATACAGTTCTAAAAACGTGATCTTTATAATAAGCCTGAAGCGAGATGACGTTTTACCCCCGACTCTATACCATAATAGTTTTTAAAATTCTTTCATATTAAAATTTTTGATTCCTTAGAGAATACAGGTATAAGTTCAGAACAATCGTTATAATACGGGACCCGATTTACAGGTGAGTGGTGGTTGCATATGGGTTACCAGTTACCCACCACTTCTGCATAGAAGTAAAATGCTTAGCAACGCCAGCTGGTCTGAGAAAAATGTTAACCAATGAGACAACAAAATTTCCAAACCTTAGGTGTCACTTTTGCATTGACAGCATGTTTTTATTTTCCGCTGGCCAATGTTTGCAGGCTTTACATATAACCTCAGTTTTGCAATGACTTAATTTCTACGTCCGGCTATCACATCAGCTGGCGTATTTGGGTATCAAAATCAGCAGTTACTTCAGACACCCAGTATTTCAACAGATCTTTTAGCTGAGTGAGAGGTAATATACTGGTGCCCACCACTCGGGTCCCGATTTAGTTTTACGTTATTATTTTACCCCTTTTTCTTTGCGTAAGGCCTATACATAGAAGCCTTGGCCGGTGTAGCCTATAGCTTTTTAGTGTAAAAAGAAAAAAATTATAAAAAAAAGATTTTCATGTTTAAACAGGCTTGGCTCACTTGTTTATGATTTATGCGCCGCAGTACCACAGGGAACCCACTTATATGTAAGTACACCGTACTGACCTTGAAGGGATGAAGGGATTTTTTTTCGTGAACAGGACAATGGAGAGCAGTCATAATCGAAAGAGACTTGTGACAAACATTTTGTCGATCAAAGGCAGCCAAAAAAAGTTTATTCCAAGTGTATAACCCAGAACATTTCAAACCAACATGACTTGCAGGATATGGGGCCCAAGGAATAGAGCTCCTCGGGTCGGGCGTAATAATTTCCCATTTCAGACCACTTGTCCTTCCTCAGAGTATCATTTCTTTGTTTAAAGGTTGCACATGAGAAGACACATGAATATGGATACAACACAAACAAAGAATCTTATTCTCAAGACCATGTGTCATTACCTAGAGTATCATTCCTTTGTTTAACAGTTGCACATGAGAAGACACATGAATATGGATACAACTCAAACAAAGAATCTTATTCTCAAGTGAATGACACGTAGTCTGGAATGGGAAAACAATGCCCCAAGCCGAAAAGGTCTATTTATTTTCATTGTTCATTCAATTCAAGCCTTTTAAATTTGTATTCCACCCTCATTATTTTCCCTTTATTGTCATGTTATAATTATTTTATACATTTTTTTTTTTTTTTTTTTTTTTTTTTTTTTTTTACATTTATTTTATTGAATTTTGTCAATAACTAGCACTGTCCAAATTATTTCTTCGTTAATATTTTACGGTTGCTCAGCTAGATTAGTTCATACTAAACTCCGAGTA